TGTATCTGAAGAGGCGAGAAATAGGACTTCCTAAACTATGATAAATGCTTGTATCACTGAGTTCCAGTTGATGCATAATCTCTTAATTAAAACTAGCTCACAAGTGGTATTTCCTAATCAGCTTTCAAGCTTTGCTCTCTGCAGCAAATTTTTTTTTTCTGAAAGATCTGGAAAACCTAATATTTAACTGGCTTTTAAATTGTTTATGCATCAAAGTGTTCAAACTATTGTTGTCCCTTAACGAGCAAGTGCCCAGTGATGCTTCTGTTTGGCATTCCAAGGTCTCAAGTTTAGAGCACCATTAAATGATCACAAGTGGCAGTCAGGCCATCTTGGAGGCTGAAAGCCCTGGAAACTAGTTAATTGGATTACTCACACAGTTCCATCTACTTTCCAGGTGTTAAGTATTTAAATCATTTTTTATTAGGAGTAACATTGGTTCACTGATTATATGCTCCTTAAGGAAAAGGCCTTACCTTAAACTTCTTTTTTTCTTTTTTAAAGATTTTGTCAGAGAGAGAGAGAGAGAGCACGCACAAGCAGGGGAGGAGGGGCAGAGGGAGAGGCAGGCTCCCCGTGGAGCAGGGAGCCCCATTTGCAACATTGATCATGAGCAACATTGCAACATGATCCTGGGATCATGACCTGAGCCAAAGGCAGACACTTAACCGACTGAGCCACCCAGGTGCCCCGAAACTTCTTGTTATTTAATAGGGAATCTTGTTTGATCAGTTCCATGCATTATGGCTCCTTGAGCATCAGAAAAGGTAATGAAAGATCATTTTGCCCGTTACACTGGATGAAATCAGGAGTGGCCGTAGTGTGGTTACAGTGACCTAGGTAATCCCCTTTGGGCACCAGGATATCTAGATTGGCCATGTGCTCTGACCAGATGATTCCACAACTGCAAAATCATGTGTATTTGCTCTTTGCCGTGGGAGCCGAAACTAAGACACGTCCAGGGGGTTTCCAACCACCAAGTCACAGGCTTTCAAGGAGAGCTACATTCAATGAACTGCAGGGCCATCCTCTGAAGAATAGGGTTTCGCTCCACAAAGAACCTCTATTTCTGCCCCTTGCTTAAGGGTATATGGCTGTCTCCCCAAATGCATTTTCATTTTCTGTTTTCACCACCTCCCGCATCTTCTATAAGCCCCTACCCCGTGCCCCCTTAAACCATCTCCCATCCATCCCCATCCCCACTGGCCAGACTTTGTAAGAAAACCTTTGTGCTGGGTTTTCAGAGTGTGTCTGTTGCTTACAGCCTCTGCAAAAGAAACTTGAATAGATGAGAAATGAGCTCTTGCAGCTAAGTAGGTCTGAGCTATAGCGTCCCCGGGCCTGCGGAAGAGAAGAAAACAGACCCTTGCATTGTCCATGGTTCCTGACCCCTGGTTCTGTTAGTGCATAGGTCCAAATGAGATCCTTCCGTAGGACCTGCCTAGCCATGTTTGTCTGTGAGTGCAAGCTACAGCATGTAAACCGTAATGCACACGGTTTTGGCCAGTGTCCACATCTGGTATTTGAACTTGCCTCCGTGCCATTTTTAGAAGGAGGTGGAACATAAATTAATATTTGGACTCTACATGTATCTGGGAAAAATAATCTCCTAGGCTTTTCAAAGAAACTGGAAAGTCCGACTTCATTCTGCTTTCAATTACAGCTGCAGCTCTGTGTTCCCCAGCTCTCTCCTGCTCCTGGAGGGTTAATGCCGGCTTTTGAGCCAAACCGATATTTCTTGTTTTCATACACCATTTTAATGAGAATTCAGAATAATGATGTTAGAAAGAAAACATCAAGATTTTATCACTACTCCCCGGGGACTTCTGCTTAATCCTTTTTCACTGGAGTTTTGATTTTTTTAAAGATTTTTTTTAAAGATTTTATTTATTTATCAGAGAGAGAGAGACAGGCAGGCAGAGGGAGAAGCAAGGAGCTCCTTGCTCAGCAAGGAGCCTAATGTGGAGCTCGATCCCAGGACCCTGGGATCATGACCTGAGCCAAAGGCAGACGCCTAACTGACTGAGCCACCCAGGCATCCCTTCACTGGAGTTTTTAAAAGCTATTTTCTGAGTGAAGCAGCTGCACCATTCACAGTTCCCCTCAAAGGGGGGCGTCCGGGACCATAGGTCTCTTGCTTGCTTTTCACTCACGGGTAAGTCCTATCTGTAGTAGTCCTACACCCTTTCTGTAAATCAGGTGGTGCCATGTGAAATCACTGTGTACATAGGTCAAAATGGGCAAATAACAGCATTTTCGTGTGGCTTGTGTTAATACCAGCCTTCAGCAGAGCACTTAGCTAAGGAACCAGCACTGATGAGACAGCAAAGAGCCAGGCTGCCTGGCTTCTTTAAGTAAATACTACACATCAGACATCGTGTATATCTGGACACAAACATGGAATGAGCCTCTGTCCCTGCCTGCAGCCAACTCTCCATTCAGAAGCACTCTTAAAATGGGCATATTTTAATATCCTTATTTCTTTGGGTTTCCTTACCTCATGAAGATGGGCCCTGCTTTTAAATTAGTTTCAGCCCTAAATAACATTTTCTGTCTGGCAAAATGGAAACAAGGAGACAGTTGTTTGGGAGTTGGGAATTTGAGGCACGTGCTTGCCAGGGTGCACTTCGGGCAAGGAGGACGTCGCGGAAGCGAGCCGGAGAGCCTTTCATGAAATGCAAGACGCTGCGCTCTTTGTACCTGCTCCCCTTCCTGGGCTGCCATGGCTGTCCCCTTTCTTCTTGCCCTTCATGGCTACTTTTGCCTCGTTGCCTGGTTCAGGTTCTTGCTCTGTTGGCATTTCCCTTTGTGAGGGCCGGCAGCCTGGACGGCTCCCGCAGGAGGCAGGGCAGCAGGGTGGGTGGTCTCTGGCATGTGCCATCCCTGGATTCTGGTGGCCTTGCTGAGCCCCGCTCGGCTCCCCTCCTACTTGCGTGGTCCTTCCAACTGCACATTTAAGATCCATACCTGGAATGCAGGTCTCTTTTCACAGGGCATGTTTATAAAGTGACGTGATTTCAATCATCCTGGACCTCACAGCCCCCTGCAGAGGAGGCATATCCCGAAAGTACTCTCATTGCTCAGAATATGCTTGGAGCTCTGGATGGGTCTGCAACTTCTAGCAGTGTTTACAGCTCTATGAGTTACTGTTCTGCACCATCCCTAGGGGGTGAGCTTGATGCCTGGAATTACTTGAAGTCATTTACACTCATTTACAGTCCAGTCAGTAGGCGGGGGGGGGGAGCACTGATTCAAGTAATAGTGTTCAGAGCAAAAATATGTATAAATGCAAAGTTTGCAGACTGGAATGGGTTGGTTATTTGCTTTTTTTGCGTGACTTTAGTGTTGATTCCCAGAGGGGCTTCAGAAAGTTTTGAGCATAGCAATACCATGGCATCCTAAGGAGACTACCTTTAAAAAATGCAGTACTTACTGGATGCAAATTTTGGCTATTCCCTTTTTTATTTTTAATATTTGAGAGTGAGAGCATGCGCAAGCAGTGGGGAGGGGCAGAAGGAGAGGGACGAGCAGACTCCCCACTGAGCGCGAAGCCCACTCGGGGCTTGATCCCAGGACCCCGAGATCATGACCTGAGCTGAAAATCAGATGCCTAACCGACTGAGCCACCCAGGTGCCCCTTGGCTATTTCTTTTAAAACTGTCATTAATCACACTTCTGCATTAGAGGTAGGCTTATAGAGCCAGTGATTGCTCAACTAAATCAGAGAAGCCCTGTTTTCCTTCCCAGAAGGGGAGGTTCCTTGTCTCTTCCCTCACTCACCCGGCTCCCTCTCTTTTTCCTTGAATTCTTTATCTTCGGCCTGGAGAGGCTTGCCTTTACATTTTGCTTGTTCTTGCTTAGGTTGTGGGAGCCAGCCCCTGAATGTGGTGCCTCTCTCCAGGCCACACAGCAAGAACACTGCCGAGCCTGAGATGACTTTTGACTAACAAGCACCACATCCTAGAGCCAGAAACTGGAAGACAGTCCTTCCCAAACATGGCTGCATTTTAGAATCCCCTGGCAAGTGTTTAAAACTGACACCCAGGTTGCACCCCATACCAACTGAAACAGAATGTCTGCGGGTGGGGTTCAGGCTGCGGTAGTTTGTCAGAGATCCCCAGGTGATTCTAATCAGCATCCAAGCCCGAGGACCACTGCAAGGAGGGGGATTATCCTTGACAATGTGAGCAGTTACACCTGAGCGTAACCACAGCCAGCTCGGTCTTGTGTCTCTCAGGCAACCTGAGGTGCTAGAAACAGCCCTGGCTGCAAAACCAGTCTCTACAGCTTACTATCCTGGTGACCTTGGCAAGCCACTTAGCCTCCTATGGGCTTTTCTCTGTGAAATAAGATAATAATAGCAATACCTGTCTGATAGGCTCATGTTAAGGGGTGGCAGAGATGATGCATAGAAGTCTTTGTAAATTGTGAAGTGCTGTGTAAATGCCTGATAATACTGGAGATTGTTCTTTTATAGAAAGATGATCGTGTTCCCGGTCCCCTGGCGAGGAGGCTAGGGTGACTGTGGTGGCATTAATCCCTTCATTACCAGCAGTACTCCTGGGAACAGTTTAGGACAAGAATTGATTTCTCTTGTCTAATAAAGGGGGCGGCCAGGAGAGGTGGTCTCTGCCAGCTTTAAAATGAAACCAGGAGCCAGAGCCTAAGAGAACCAACCATTGCCCCGTGATGCCCAGGGAATGCTCCCTGGCTTCCTGTTAGTGGACTGTGAGCTGAGGGGCCTTGTATAGAGGATCATCAGTTGTCCTTCGGCTTCTGAGCCTGCCTTTCATCTGCAGGGTTGCATTTCGTTTATATCAAAGTGGATGAAACAAGGTGGTGCTAACGGGCCCCCAGGAGGGTCGGAGGGATATCCTGTTGGCCAGGGCCTGCGTGCTCGTTTTCGTCAGTGTGATTGTGGTGTCTTGTGTAGTAAACATCGTCGTGGCTCTTTTGAGTACAAACCAAAGCATTTTTTTCCTTGGGCTTGTCCTCCCCAGGGACTTGAAGTTGGATGGAGGGAAGCAGTCCACAGGTGCTGTGAGCTTGAAAGAGATTATTGGCCTTGAAGGTGTGGAGCTGGGAGCTGACGGGAAGGTAAGGCTTCCTAGCTTCCAATCGGCAAGTCGCTGCTGACACCACCAGGGTCAGGACTTGGAAGCAGCGTGACAGACCACGACCCTTGCTTATGGTGGAGGAACCAGGTCTGGGGCCAGCCCGTCCCCTCTCCCCTAGCGTGCCCTCAGAAACCCACTGAGCCAGTGAGGAAATAGCAGCATAGTATTTCTCCCCCAGTGCTATTTATGATGGAATGCCAGATACTGACGAGTATCCCGCACACCCATGCATGTTCTGGAATCGAGTGGTTTGAGCATGCATTAACCGATGGTGTCAGCAAGCTACATTCCCGCTACTAGAAAGTTTGTTTTGGGGGGGTGGGGGAGGGAGGCTTCCCACGGTCCTGAGAAGCTGAGTCTGTCAGCCTTAGTGAGCACCTAGCAGGAGAGCTGTTACATTCCTCCTTATCTGCAATCCAGTGAGCTGCTGGGTGGAAGTCTGAGGGGTGAAAGTTCAAAGATGAACTTGACCTTTTTGTGCTGGATCCAGGTAATCTTTGTAAACCCTTCAAAAGCCTGTTTATGGAGATGAAGCAAGTATTTGGGGAAGCCATCTCAGGGTACCTTGCTTCCAGCTGAAGCTGCTGGGGCACCTAGTGACCTCCCCACCTCCCCTCTGCCAGAACAGCTGGTCACCACTGTGCCCGGACATCATCAGCCCTGAGCCCACGAGCAGGGGGTATATGGGCCGTGCTTCTCCAAGTAGGTGGAAAGAAAAACACTTGTTCTGTGTCCATTCCTGAAGGTTGAGTGTTCACGCAGGAATGAGGGAGGTGAGCGAGAGACAAGCATCAGAGATCACATCTGCCAACGGAACATGCAGAAGGCCACAACCCCTTATCAGACACTCTTGGGGCCTGACGTGTTCTGGAATTCTGCACTTGGTGGGGTATAAAGCTCGTGTGGTGTTCAAAAAAAGAGAAAAAGCCAGTGCGGTATGTGCCTCGTGTATTACACAACATCCCAGTGCTTCTGGGATAGTTCTCAAACTACCATATGACACGAATATTCACACAAAGTGCAATAAATTAAAACTATACGTAGCCTCAAATTAGTTGAGTTTAGGTTTTGGCACAAATACCAAAACAAATTTCATCTCAGATCTCATTGGATTTTAGAAGTGCAGATGTAAGAATATGAATGCAAACCTATCATTGCCTGGGAGTAATCCATTTTGTCCGTTTTTGTCTTCTCCTTTTAGACTGTTTCTTACACCCAATTTCTGTTACCCACAAATGCCTTTGGAGCCCGGAGAAATACCATAGACTCCACCTCCTCCTTCTCCCAGTTCCGTAACCTGAGCCACCGCAGCCTCTCCATAGGACGCGCAAGCAGCACCCAGGGGAGCCTGGACACAGGTAACCTTGGGCAGGGCCAGGGCCGGGCAGCGCGTGGAGAAGGGTGCCTCGGTGCGCCGTGTGGGCTGGGTCTCCCTGTGTGCAGAGTGGAGGACGGGTGCCTCTGGACGGAGCATGAACCCATCCCACGGGCCACGTGACTTTGGGGCAAGCCCAATTTCAGACCATACAAGTTCACAGCCAGGCCACAGGGGGACCTCACCAATGAGATGTTTTAGCCACCAACTCCCAAGCTCCCGCAAGGACAAATGCCAAGGTCATCTGTAGCGTGCAGATAATGGCTGGACCGCCCTCTCCCCCCACTCAGCTCCTTATCTCACCGTGCTTCTTGCCGATATTTTCCCAGTGTTCCGATTGGGATCAGGTGTGAGAACTTTTTGTGATTCTCGTGGCCTGTGAGTGTGAAGGAGGGCTTGCTTGCTTCTAGCTTTGCCTCTACACACCTTTGTAAGACGCGAACAAGGGAGAAAACTCCAGAGAAACTCCAGGTGAAGGGGGAATTCCTCAGGCCTGTCTGGGTGCTGAGTTCGGAAGCACCGTCCTTCGGTTCCCACCAGCTCTAGCCATTGACAGCTGTCTGCCCTGGCGCCGCTCTGATCTGTGGACGGACACGGTAGCCTGCCTGGAAGCCTTCACACCAGAAACATGCAGCTCACGAGGCAGGACTTGAGTTACTCGTTTGATCTGCAGGTTTAGCAAGTGCGCCTTCTTGGTGCCCCATTTTGTAACCCGAGTGCTCGCTTTATCTTCCATGCTCTGTGAGGTTTTGTGCTCTCCCAGGTCCGGGGGAGTGATACATAGTTTTCTAAAGCGGAAAAACTGTCAGAACGTTAAGTATTTTGTGACCCCCCCCTTGTGCAGGGGATACCCTTCCCTGGCATGTAGGGATGTTTCCTGAGGGGCAGAGTGTGCATTGTGACTCTGGGCTCAACGACCTGAGGCCGGCCTTGCTTCAGTCTAACTTTAGTCTTGGCGTTCGCCCTCCTGCTTCTGCTTCAGGGAGTCCGGGGCCCCTATTGATTATTTTGTGTGTGATTCTCAGGTAGCGACCTGGGAGACTTTATGGACTATGACCCAAATCTCCTGGATGACCCCCAGTGGCCTTGTGGCAAGCACAAACGAGTTCTGATCTTTCCTTCGTACATGGTGAGTAGTGGTGGAGAGACAGTCTGCTCACCCCCTCAGCCTCACCCCTGCTGCCCCCTCAGGCATGCTCACCCTAATAGGCGGCTGCTCTCTGGCGTCAGGGGGCTGGTTCAAACACTGCGCGGCCTGGGGAGCTTCTGGGGGACTCCCCAGTGTAGGTTGCTCACAGAAGGCCCAGCATAGGCTGGTCCTGGGTTCTTCTGGTCACCTGGCCTGCATACACCACTTTGGTCAGGGACCCTCACCTCTGGGGGGACACACCTGAGCTCCTACATCTGTAGACCCTGCTAGGGGAGGGCCAGGCCCCACAGGTTCAGGTCTGTTTGGAGTTCCCTGGTGACTGTAGGCCTCCACGTGCACTCCAGGCAAACAGTGGGCACTGGGCCCCAAATGACAGATTTCTCCGTCAAGAGAATTCTTGAGAGAGCGAAGGTAGGCCACTCTGGGCGTTAAATGCAAAACCTTTACTTGCCGTTTTTGCTTCATGGACTCTTCCTGTTTTCCCTTTGTGTAATTTTGGTTTCTGCTTTTGGCTGACCACCATTTCCCACCACTTGGTCTGCCGTTTCTCCAGATGCCTGTGGGGCCTGTCTGGGTCCTGTGTACTTTCTTGGGGCAGACTTGCCCCAACTCAGCGGCAGGCGGATCCTGGGCAGCTGTGGGAGAAGGGGAGAGCTGGGCTTGTGGGAAAGCTGCCAGGCCTGGTCTGCCGCACATAGCATCAGGTAGGAGAGCACCAATCCAGAATGCTCCCACCACCTCCCTGACAGGCCCCGAGGGGGCGGGCGCAGCTCAAAACATCCCGCTCCAGTTCCCTTGCTCCACCACAGCCCATGCCGTTCTCAGCAGCCCCAACCTTGGGAATGAACAAACGGTCCTTTTTCTCTTCTGGGCTCTTGTGTCTGCAGAGGCCAGAGTGGGACCCCGTTTACTCAGAGGGCCCCTGAACACTCACTCTGAACTGAGAGGTCTCAGCACTGGGGTTCCACCCTCCAGCCTCGCTTTCTTCCCTGAACATTTGGCAAGTAGCTGCCATCAGAGAGACACCAGGCAGAACTCAGGTCCTTGGCAGTTGCTTCCAGCAAAAATCCTATTCTAATACACTATGCTGAGTCAGCATGAATTGCCAAAGGCATTGAGTTTAAAATTGCCCCTGCTTCTCACTCCCCCAACCTTATTTCCCACCCCCTAACACAAAAAGCAGAACCAGAGCCATGTATGTTTTTTTCCCCCCACTCCGAGACCTGTTAAGATTAGTTGTTACTTTTACAGCGCCAGGCCATATTCATGTAAGCTAGCACATAATAAGTGTTTAATAAATGGCTAGAATCACCGCCCTCATGTGAAGGAGGAAGCAACTGAAACGTCATGACTTGTGTAAGAATAGGATTCTTTATGTTGTTCATTGCTTTACTTACTAAGGAATGGTCAGGAAACTGTGGCTTGGGGAGTCAGTGAGGCTGTCACAGTTGACAGGAAGTGGGGGCTGAGGCTGGTGCTCTTCTCACTTGGCCTGGGCCTCCCACATCCCTCAGCAGTCAGTGGCAGAACGGCCGACCTCAGGGGAGGACGTGAAAATGACTGGGCCAACAGTTTAACAGATTTTTAAGTAAGCAAGAGAATAAGAGAGGGCACTATTTTTGACCGACTGGGGTGTGGCAGGGAGCTCTTCCCTGGGCTAGGTTATGTCTGGCGATGACATGGGCCTCTCCTGTAGGCCTGGTGGCAGTCTGGTGCCAGATCTTATTTATTTTTTTCTTTAAATGATTTCACTGTGAGCCTCAAGGTTCTGGGCCGCAGCTACATGCACGTGCCTGTGCACACAGGCCATTTTCCTCCTTGGGCAGTGTGCTAGATGACTTGCGAAGTCAGCATATATGTCCTCTCCTCTGTGTTTTATGTTCCTAACGGGCTCATTTTTCATTTTCCCAGCTTGCATCTGCAGCCCCTGCTTCCTGTAATAGTATGTGTTTTAGAGAATGAAATGGCTCGTGAACTGCATTTTCTGGTCAGTTCCATAAGATGTACATCTCCTCTTCTGGCCGCAGAGATTTGTACTTTGATCAGATATGGGACAGCCACTTTTCAGCATTCTCCTCTGTCACTGCCATGCATGTCTTGTATTACAGAGAGCCTCAGACTGGCTCCCAGGAGACTTCTCTAGAAGCAGGCAGGGATTATGGGGCTGTTTCACATGCAAACTTGCACAAGTATGCATGGGGGTTTTGGTTTTGGCTGGTTTGCTTGAAGATACAGAATTTGTCCACTAAGCCAGTACTGACTGAGGCCCTACTGTGTGCCAGGCCAGATGCTTCCTTATATAGTGGAGAACAAACCGGCCACAATCCCCATTTTCCTCAGCCTTACAGCAGGTGGGGAAGTCAGACGGTGAGCAAGCAGACAAGTCACTGCGGTCATGAGGAGGGTGAAGAAAAGTGGTAGGAGATGATGGGGGTGGGGTGGGGGGGGGAAGGTGGGAGGTCTACCTCCAGGAAGGTTCCCCTGAAGAAATGGCATTGAAGGTGAGTGTGAGGGGTAAGAAGGAGCAGCCATTCCAGGCCTTGGTGGGAAAGGCCCATGTGCAAGAGCCTGTCTTGTCAAGGGGGGGTGAAAGAGGAAGAGTGTATCAAATCAGTATTTTTAACAATGACAGTCACTGTCCTTCCCTCTACACACGTGCACCCACATGCATACACACACACACAAGTGGAGAAGGCAAGCCCAGAGAATGATGATCCTGACAGATTTTCCATACTTACTCGACCCCAGGCACACGGAGCTGTGCTTGTAATAGGCACTGACTACCAGGGTAAACAGAGCTACACGGTTACTTGACCCAGGCTGTTGAAAACCTTCTTTGAGGGTCTGGGGCCCATCTTGGCCTGTGGGTGGGTGGGAGGCACTCTGCCTAGACAAACTCACCCAGCTTAGAGGAACCCTCATCATTGGCAGGGCACTCCCTGCAGGTGGATGTCAGACCTGTGCGAAGCCTGTGAGGCCCCGACTCCTCTGTCCCCTCCCCCAGGTCTTCCTGTCAGTGGCCTTTGCTGGAAGGCTGGGCAAGGGTGCGGCCAGGTGCCAGGCTGACTGTATACGCAGCACTGCCCACCGCCCTTCATATTGGCCCTCGAGGCCTGTGGGGTCCTAGTGCCTAAGCCTATGCCTGCCTCCCTTAGGTCGCCAGCGCAGTTCAGGGGAGGTCAGCCCAGTGGAGGCCTCAAGCCTGAGAACCAGGGGCTGTTGTTCTGAGAACCAGGGGCTGTGGCATTTCAGGGCTTGAGATGTTCATGCGGCCTCTGCAGAATCAAGCAACCCAGAAAGTGATGCGCTAAACCTTTTGCCCCATTGCATCCCCCAGCCACCATTTACTTGTTTTCTCTTTTCATGTTAAGTTGTAATTTATGTATGATCAAACGCACACATTTTAAGTGTATAGTTCCATGAATTTTGTCACCTCTGCTTCAATCAAGATAGAACATTTCTTTCCGCATAGCAAGTTCCCTCCTGTCCATACTGTTCTGACTGTGTCACCGTAAACTAGTTATTCTAGCGCTTTATATAAGTGGAATCATATACTATGTGCTTTTTATTTTTTATTTTTTTTGGTCCTTCTTCCTTCATAGAATAGGTGAGATTCACTCATGTTGCACATATCAGTAGTTAGGATTTTTTTAAATTGCCGAGTAGGGGTCCCTTGTAAGGACATACCCCAATTTATTTATCTCCACTCCTATTGATGGACATTTGGGTGGTTTCCTGGGTAGGGATACCATGAATATTGCTGCCATGGGCATTCTTACACAAATGTTGCATGGACATATATTTTCATTTCTCCCGGGTAAATACCCAGGAGTGGGCTTTTGGGTCCTAGTGTAGCTGATGTTAACCTGCCAGGATGTGGTTGGATGTGTATTTTCATTCATGTGTGTTCTAAGTACGAGATAAAAGGCCACTCGTGGCCACAGTTTCCATGCCTTCAAAAGTGGGAGAGTTCCAGAGGCAGACATTTCCCTGAGGCCTAGAAGGAAGCCTGTCATGTACAAAGTTTAAGTGGCAGCCGTTTATAGAGCTGGCCTTGCATTCGGAGTGACACTGGTTTTTAACTTTCACCTGTGTAAGTCACTCCCACGATTAGCCGCTGTGGAAGGGCAAAGGGGAAATTTTGAAGTAAAAAAAAAAAAAACTCGTGGGGCAAGTCTAGAAACCCAAGTCGCAGCTGCCCCTGTGGTTTTGGCCCTGAAGCTTCTAGACGGTGACCACAGAGTAGGAAAGTATGTTGAGCCTCCTGGCTACATGCAGGTTCTCATAGGGCCTTAGCTTAATGATGGTGTTTCTCAGTGTGGTGAGGGTGGGCTCGAGGCCTCGAGTGAGAACCGGGTGCTTCCTGCTCTGTGCGCCGCCTGCCTTGTAATTAAAGTTTTGCCAGAAAGTGGTTGTTTATCATTAGAACCTGGCAGCTGAAGTCAGTAGTGGTTTTGTTTTTTCTTCCTTTTCTGGGTGTGGTGAGCAATTAAGAGGAGAAAGTAAGCAAAAGAGCTGACTGAGATAATGCCAACAAAGTTAACATTATTTGAATGTGTATCTGGTTCCTTTTCCTGTCTCAGGAAGAAATCCCTCTCAAACTGTTTTGACATCAGAAGGAAAACCGACTAATAACCTTTATGATATCTATAGGTATATAAATCTCGAGAGGACATCTCTTGGATTGATCTTCTTGATAAAGTGCCTATTCACTACTCCTAGAAAAACTCCTCCTTCCTACCCCCAGACCTCCCCAGCGTTGTGGAAATATGTCTTAGAACTTTTTCGGCACAGTATGAGATGGCTGAGCGGTGGGAAATTTAAGACTCAATAAAAGGAAGGCTAAGTCAACTTTCTGTGTGGCAGGCAGTTGGGCTCTGGTTTTCCTCACCGTATTTCTTTTCCACTGAAAGCCATCTTGATGACATAGGTACTTACCTGTCTGCAGGGTGGGCTTACAGAGAAGCTAAAGCAGCTTG